GCTGGTTTCTACACATCTGACGTCGAAATGACTCCAGAAGCTGTTAAACTCAAGCGAAAGTCCAAGTTCGAGCCAAAGGCACTTGTTTGGATTGCTATGTTCGAGGACAGCCTGTTGAAGCACCTGGTGATACCTTCGGGCCAAGCGATCAATCAAGATGTCTACATCCAGAAGTGCTTGATGACGTCTCATTATGCAAAAAAGTTATATTTTACGCTAGTCTTAAAGTTATAAGTTTTTTAGTTTTGTCCGGATTTCTAGGTATCACATGTTAAATAAATTTATTGTGAATTTTAAGGAAGTCATTAAGTTATAAGTTCTTAATACTTTTGAGACAATAGTTGTTCTTAAAAACATGCCGTAACGTTAATAAGTTTAATTTACAAAGTTTTTAATGATCCTTTCTATATCATTTCAATATTGCAAAGTATATATCTAAACATATAGTTACTTGCAGTGTTTATTTTACAAGCTTCAAACTTGTATTAAACCATGGCAATGGCTCCCATACCAAAGATGGTTGGTAGACCTAGTAAAAATTTAGGAAATTTTGAATTATTTTGAAGTATTTTATCTATTGAAGCAGAAGAGACAGTACTCAGATCAGGAGAAAAACATTAGATTCAATACATATTCTAGCTACTGCTATAAACAAAAATATTGCAGCTAAAAAAAGCAGATATTCTTCTTGTTTAAACCATTGGATTGTTGGCTTTTCCTTAAAAAACTTTAAAGGAGGAAAGTTTCCATTGAATAGAGCTATATTGCAAAAGTATCTATTTGAGAGAGAAAATGATCCCAGAAAAAAAACAAGACTCATTGAAAATCATCTAGTTAGCAATACCTACTCGCATTCCAACGAAGTAATGCAGGAAGGACTGTGCTGGTCAGATTGTCTGTTTGGTAAAAGAATATGAGATACTGAAAAAATTCCTGATAGCAGAAGACAAGAAAGAAAAGTAAAGCAATAAACTACATCATTTACATTGAAATTGATATATCACATACAGACAGTTACACATTGCTGAAACACTCTGGTAATGACGAGTGGCATATTGACTGGAAATTTTTTTAATTAATTTTTTTTTGTTAATTCACCTCCTCAAGGTCGAGAAGGTCACTACAGACGAGGAGACTACATTTTTGTGGTTTTAACCCTCTCTTAACTCTACAACTCTGAAACACGAACTTTGGCAAACAAGGTCGCTCCGTGGAGAAACGAGTTGAGCTTGGTACTACCAGGGACGTGGTAGTATCGCAATCAACTTGTGAGTAACAATGTTACATCAAACTACAGCATCACGAAAGAAAGAAAAAAAAGGAAGTAGCTTACGAACTTGGAACCTCTTCCTTATGCAAGCGCTCTACCACTACACTACTACTGCATAAATTCTTAAAAAACCAATTCCTCAAAAACCAATGAAAGTTTCCTCAGTTGGGCTCAATGGCTTGAGTAGACAAAATACTTGCTGAAAAAGAACAACAATATTACATCAAACTACAGCATCACGAAAGAAAGAAAAGAAAGGGATTGTTTCATATTAAGAAACAGCAATTCAAAAATCTTGAATTTTGCTCATACATTACTGATGATAATGGAGTCAACGAGGGAGCCAAATTTTCTTCAGTTGTTACGGAAAAAGATGAAAAAGATGAAAATTTTTCAGTGAAAAGAGAAACAAAACCATCATTGTAAGTCTGCAATAATGCTGAAAATTTCAAACTTTCAACTATTATAAGAAACGTGTACAGTTGCTGATGGATCTGGTATTAGTGAAAGACAACAGCTACTTATTTTGGGAAAGTTTTTAGCAGTAGGTGGAGCAGCTTTGAATGATATTATACTTTCTGAAACATCAGTTCATAAAGCAAGATCAGCTAACAGAATTGAAGAAGCAAAATTAATTGAAGAAACTTAGATTCCACCTGAATTTTTGGAAATTCATTACGATGTAAAAGTTTTAAAGCAAGCAACTGGAAAAAAAAAAGCGCGACTTGCTGCGTATGCAGGGCCATCTCCTAAATTGCTAGGTACTCCTCAAATTGCTGACAGATCTGGTCAAACGCATTGTTGTTCAGTGATGAACCTAATTGATAAATGGCTATTAAAAGCATCTGTTGTTGCACTTGTCTATGATGCAACATCTGCAAACAGTGGAGCATATAATGGAGCTGCAATTTTAATTAAAAAGCAAATTGATCGTTCTCTACTCCAACTTGAATGTAGGCATCATATTCCAAAGCACTTTATGAAAGCAACATCTAATTCTATTTGTGGTCTAAACAAATCATTAAGAGTTCAGCTGTTAGAAAGGTTTAAAGAAGAATGTAGGCATCATATTCCAAAGCTCTTTAAGAAAGCAACATCTTTTTGTGGTCCGAACAAATCATTAAGAGTTCAGCTGTTAGAGTTTAATCATTAAGAGTTCAGCTGTTAGAAAGGTTCAAAGAACCTTTCTAACAGCTGAACCTTTCTTTTATATTCTTGTTAATTTCATTAACAAGAATATAAAAGAACTTAGAGTGTGGAGGGCTTTAACGCTGCGAAAAAATTTGTATGCAATCTTTCTTGTGTCAATGATATTGCAGAGCAAGATATCAAGCTTATAGGAGACATCAAAGACAAATGTTTTGATCCAGTGGAGAGAGAACAACTTGCTCAAGTTACATCAAAACAGCCTTAAAGGAGCATATAACTCGCAGAAATCAATTAAAATAAATTTTCAACAAATAAAGAAATAACATTTCAGTAATGTTATTAATTATTGATAGCCTTATTGATATTTGAATAAATCTTTTGTGGGATATCTACAAATAGTCGTAAATTGATAAAACTTTGTATAATTATTTTTTAATGATTATTAATTAAGTTGTGTAAACCCAACTAAGTAACAATAATAATTAGTGGATAATATGTTGCACAACACTTGCGCAATCTGTTAATATAATTTCTAACGTTTTGTGAGGGATCTAAAAATTGTCCTATATGCAAAATTTTTGGTATTTAGCATTTTTAGATCAAGTGTTATCACTGGTAAAAACCCCGATTAAAGTTTCAAAAAAAAGTTTAAAATGGACCACCCTACCACACTCTTTTAGATGTAATTTCTGATCATATTGAATAACGCCTTTCTCTTTATCTTTTTACCAATATTGTTGTTATTGGTGACTTTAATGCTCATCACACTGAATGCTCTGGCTCTAAAATGTTAGCACTAAAGCTCATAAGAAGAGTTAAACATCTCAGTTAAACTCTTCTATGGCTTCTGGTCCAGACAACATTACTGACATATTCTTACAAAAGTGTTCTCCAAAACAAACTTTAAATCTCTTTAAACTATTTAATTAGTGCTTGACTGAATCTTGTTTTCCTTTCAATTTTTAAAAACTGACAAACACTCTTACCTTACTATTATCCGATCAGTCATTTCTCTATTATCTATATTCAAATTCCTAACATCTGATTTTGAGTCTAATAACTTACTCTCTGACAATCAATACAGTATTTGATCCTCAAACACTACAACTGACTTGCTAACTGCTATGACTAAAAGATTTTATCTTGCATTGGATCGAATGGGCGAGGCTAGTGGCTATTGCTCTTGACATATCTAAAGCGTTCTACAAAGTTTGGCATGCTGGTCTTCTCCATTTATTTGCTTCATATGATGTATCTGAGAAAATGTTTGATATTATCAAAACATTTCTTTCAATTTTCATTTCAAACAAGGCATCCTCCAAGGCCAGTGTTTTTCTTTAATTCCAATAACTTCTGGGGTACCTCAAGTTTCTAACTTAGTCCTGTTTTATTTCTTGTCTACATTAATGATTTTTCTGACAATCTTACATCTTAACAAAGCTCCATTTGCTGATGACTCAACTTTATACTCCTGTCTTGGCAAGAAGTCTTCTGTTTTTGATTACATAGAACAGGCAGACAATCTTAAGTTTAATCTCGCTTCTGTAACAGCTTGAAGCTTGCATTAGTCTGTGAATTTTAACTCTAACAAAGCTGAGTTATTTACTGCAAACAACTATTGCTATTTTGCTAATATTTCTGTATTAATGATTGGCAATCCTATTATTGAGTTCTCTTACTTTATAACTTCTTGTTTTTTTATTCACTACTAATTAATCGGAGAAATTATATATACAATCCATTGCAAAAGTTATCATCTGCTATTGTTGCATCTTGTTATTGTGCTTGCCAATATCTAACTCCTTTTTCTACAAATCTAATACGCCCCTCTAAAAAATACTGTTGTCATATTTGGACTGCTTCATCTAATGATGCTCTTTTTCTTTTAGACAAGGTCAAAAAATGCATTGCAAAGGTAGATGGACCTGCTTTATCTGCCAAACTTAAGCCTCTCCCATATTCGTAAGGTTTTATCTCTTTCTCTTTTCTACAAAAACTATTGTGGTTGCTGTTCAAGCAAGCTATTTTCTCTAGTTCCATCAACCTTCTAAAACTTATTCTTGCTTGACTTATTGTTCAATAAAGTTGCATCCTTTTACTGTTTTTTCCTTGCAAGCGCTAAAAACTTCTATTCATCTAGTTTTTTTCCCCGTACTTCAACTCTTTGGAGCTCTCTCTTACTTCATGTTTTTCTGACTCATACAATCTAAAACTCTTCAAGTCTCCTATCAATTGTTTCCTTGGTCTTTAACTCTATTCTTTGCTTTCTAATAACTCCCAACTTAATAGTGGTTGCTTGCAATCTTTTTAAGAGTAATTTAGTTAAAAAAAAAATAATAATTTGCAAAGGTTTATTTTTAATTTCAGAAAAATTTAAATAAATTTTTGAAAGTTTTTTGAATTAAACTCGATTAAACTTTTTTTTTTTAGTTTTTGAACATTTTAATACTAATTTAGCCTAAGTAATATGGTGTAACATAGGTGTTACACCCAGACTATTATAGCCATGTTACACCCAATTTATCCTGGCTATGTTTATTATCTATTAAATTTTATTTAAAAGGACCTTGATAAAATGTAGTATACATTTATTCGGGAGTGCAAAAGAGTTGATATTGGTGAAAAGCAAACATGGATAATATTGGCACAAAGTTATGAAACAGAATCAATTCCACCTAAACCTAAAATTGTTAGAGTTGAAAATTATCGTCAATTTCTTATTATTCAAGAACATGAATCTAAAACTAGAGGTAATGTTTAATTATTAGTTTGATAAATATGGTTTTTTTAAAACCTCATAATTATTAATAATCTTATAATCATCAAATGAAACATAATTTATTATTAGGTATGACATTTGATGTGACATTTGATTTGACTTTGACTAACGTTAAATATGACTTAGTCATATGATTTACTTATAAGTCCACCAATCCTGAAAATGCTTTTCAGGATATTTAAATATGATTTTTAGCAAAATGATTTTGGTAAAATATTATATGGTATGCGATGTTGTGAACTTAAGTCTAAGTTTAAAATGATATTTATACAGGATATGCACCTTTAGTTATAAAAACTATTATCAACATGTGTCCTTTTTAAAAACTAAAACTTAAAACAAAAATCCGTATATAACAAAAAGTAAAAAAAGTAGAAAAATTAGAATAAGTAATGTGTACATTTATGCTGCTTTAAAAAAAAATTGGTTGTTTAGTTTTCTTTTAAATAATGTTAGTTCTGCCATATTTCTAATGTCCGAAGGTAATTTGTTAATGTCCGAAGGTAATTTGTTAATGTCCGAAGGTAATTTGTTTAAAAATTTTACTCCTGCAAAGTAAAAAGGGTTTTGTCATTTCGAGTTTTATTTTCAGAAGTCTCAGCAATATTCCTTGTCTGGTATATTTCTTATGTTTAATGGTTTTGAAGTGATTAGTAAAATTTTCATAAAATTCATTGTTTAAACACTTTTTTAAAAATAAGTATGACTCTCTTATGATGGTTTTCTCAATCTTCTTAAGATTGTGATGGCTACTAATTATATCTTTTGCTCTTCTGTCAAATGAAATTAGTTTGGCTTTGTGTGTTGCTGTAAAAAAGAAAGCGTTGGATCCAATTTACATCCTAGGCATTTATATGATTTTACAAAATTAATTATTTCTTGTTCGTAACTTAAACAAAGTATATTCTTGTTTTATTTTTTTGCAGATCCAAATAGCATTGCTTCCACTTTTACCACATACAGATTAATTATTAGTTCATTATTATTAATGCACTTTGCTATACTATTTAATTCCGATTTTACGATATTAATTTTTTTTTACAATTCCGATATTAGACACTCTTGAATAGTCTTAAGATGTTTATGATTATAGTATATGAAGGCATCATTTGCATATAATATCATTTTTGCTGACGTAAGACACTCAGGCAAATCATTTATAAATAAAACAAACAATAGTGGTCCTAGGATAAATTCCTGTGGTACTCCGCTTGTTAAATAAAGTTCTTTAGAATATTTATTATTAACAAAAACCTTTTGACTTCTTTCAAAAAGATAGCTGCAAACCATTCATACTCATTACCAGATATTCGATATGGTTTGATTTTAATAATAATAAGATAATGGCTCATAATATCAAAAGCCTTCGTTAAATCAACAAATACACTGCCTACAAGATTTCCTTGGTCAATATTTTTCCTTATATTGTCAGTTAGCTCTATAACTGCAGATTGTGTAGATTTTAATTTGCGATATCCAAACTGAGAACTAGTCAACATAACATTACTATCAAGATAATCTTAGAGCTGATAATGGATAGCTTTTTCCATAATTTTAAATAAAGTTTGTAAGATTGATATAGGACAATAATTTTCTTTACCAGTTGGCCCAGATTTATGAATTGGCATTGTTTTTACATTTTTCCACGATTTTAGTACTGTTGCTGTTTTAAGTGAATGATTGGCTAAATGTGTAACTTGTTTAGAGATTGCTGTTGCAGAGTAAACAAGCAGGAAGACTGTCAGTACCCGTTGCTGTATTCTTTTTAAGTAATTTTAAAAAGCATTCTGCAAAAATGCATGAAACCTAGGAAAAATGAAAGGTTTTGGTTGTCCTTAATTAAAGATCATGAGAAGGTTTTCAAGTTAAATTAAGTAATGAAAAAACTTTTTGTTTATTTTATTTAATGACTGTCTAGTAATAGTCGCATAAATTTTTATTTGAAAATAGCTTCAGACTGATATTGTTCTTTGCTGAATATAATTATTTTATGGATTTCTAAAATTTATTAGGTTTAAGGTTATTTTCATCTATTATATTTTTGATTTATTTTCAAGTATTTAGATTTTGCATGTTTAATTACAATGTTACAGCATTTATGTAGTTGTTTCAACCTATCTTTTTAATTTTTAATTGTATGGGCTATCTTAAGAAAAATATCTCTTTCTCCTAACAATTTTTTAATATTTGTGTTTAACAAAGGGCATTTTCTCCCTCATGTTTTTTTATGCATAGATAGGGCATGTTTATCAAATATGTGGCTAACTTTTTGAGTAAAAAATTCCAGAGCTAAACTTGCATTAATAATATTGTATGATAGTCTTCAGTATAATTTGTTAAGTTTTAAAGTGATATGCAAAACAACAATTCAATTTCCTAAATATCAGTTTCATAAATTGTGCATTAAATATTTAACAGTAGAATATCAATCTATATATAATACATATATACATATGTGCTATATGTAGTATACTATATATAGGTAATGAATGATAATTTTTAAAAAAAGTAATAAAAAGTCAAATATTTAAAATGTTTCAATAAATTATTTGAAACATATTAAGAAATGGTATTATAATTTTTTATAACGTTTTTAAAGATTGTTATTTCAACTTTATTTCAACTACTTATTAATAAGTTTAAAAGTTCTGTTACTATGTTTGATGTTGCTATGTATGATGTTGTATTCACTCAATATTAGTTTGTATTTATATTTCAACAATATTATTCAGGGTTATTAGATTTAAATTAAATGGATTAATACAATGGTTTAAATCATGGTTTAAACCGTTTGAAAAATATTAATTTAAACCAAAATAATATTTTTAAACATCTTTATATTTACAGCAAGAAAGTAAAGCAGGGGTGTTTACAAATAGAATTGTATATATATATATATATATATATATATATATATATATATATATATATATATATATATATATATATATACATTGTATATTGTATATATACATATATATATATATATATTTATATATATATATATATATATATATATATATATATATATATATATATATATATATATATATATATATATATTACAATAGTTGCTTACAGCAACATTAAAATATTATAGATTACAATAGTTGCTAACAGCAACATTAAATAATTATCATTTCCTGTTTATTAAAAAAGTTATATTTTGTTGTTATAATAACAAAAACAGTACTATATATATATATATATATATATATATATATATATATATATATATATATATATATATATATATATATATATATTATATATATATATATATATATATATATATATATATATATATATATATATATATATATATATATATATATATATATATATATATATATATATATATATATATATATATATATATATATATATATATATTACAATAGTTGCTTACAGCAACATTAAAATATTATAGATTACAATAGTTGCTAACAGCAACATTAGATAATTATCATTTCCTGTTTATTAAAAAAATTATATTTTGTTGTTATAATAACAAAAACAGTACTATATATATATATATATATATATATATATATATATATATATATATATATATATATATATATATATATATATATATATATATATATATATATATAAATATTTGGGTACATAAAATTGTTGATTTAGGTAAAAATGCAAGGGTGGTTCATACTTTTTAAATTATTGAAATCTAAAAAAGTTTTTTTTTATGTTTTACCATATATGTTTTTTTATGTTTTACCATATATACCAAACATGAATAGTTTTATTTTCTGAGAAAAATAAATTTTCGCGGCGCAAAAGGGGATATAAGGTTGAACAAAAAGACAGTTAAAATATAACAAATGATAAATTTCTTAAATATTTAGGACTTTCATTGGAATATTAATGTCTTTAAAGTTCAAACAAAATGACTATAATTGAAAGTATATTTCTTAACAATGATGTTGTAATTTTTACTTAGGGGCTGAAATGATGTTGTAATTTTACTTGGGGGTTGAAGTTTTTTTTAGACTATTATGGCATATTACATAATTATATTTTTATGAGTTTTTCATGGTTTAAAAAATAAATAAAAAGATTTCAATTTTTTATTTGCAATCATGCAAATTTAAATTCTTATAATAAATTAACTATGACTGCTTAAAAAATCATAAGACTCTCTTTACTTCCAGATAAAGATATTACCAGGTAATAATCAAGAAACTCAAAATTTATTATGAAGTAAATTATACATCATAATAGCTTTTTCCTTTTTTTTTATTGGTATACATGAGTTTTGTAAGATATTAAATATTTTTGTTTTTAGAAGAAATATTTCAGTGAGAAACCTCTCTCGGCTACTAGCAGATATTGTTTTTCAGCAGTGGATGAAAGCAAATGCTCTTTTTAAACCTCTATTGGCTGTTGAAAAGAAAACTTTAATGGAGAAAATTGAATTATTCTGGAACAAGTTCAGAAATATAGCACATGGGAAAGCTTCTAAGGCGTGTCTTCCTAGGAATCAAAACTGGATCAATTACTAGATATAACATGTTGCAAGTGTAAAATTATGTTATGTAACAAGATCTGTTTGAAAAATTATACTTGTGTTGATCAAGTACATATTAAGTGTACATGTGTCAAAGAGAAAAAAATTCTCAAAGTTGAACTCTCATGGCTTATTGCCCAAAGCAAAAAAAGAAAAAAATTTCAAAGTACTAGATGGAGTTAATTTTAAAGAGACCGCCAGACAGATTTTGCAAGAGGAGAAAAAAATGAAGAAGAAGTCTGGAATAAAGAAAAAATTAGAAATGAAAAAA